AAGTATCTATAGCACATATAGAATGTTCTGGCAGACTTGGCACTGAGCCAGTGACTGCAAAACAAAACCCAAGCCGATCCTGCCTCAAGATAAAGAAGTCAGCAAGCCTGCCTTCTCTGCCAAGTCGCCATGAAGGAACGCAGTATGCCAGCTGGCCTCAAGGTTTCTAAATTGTCAAGGATGGGCTTCTGTGGGTGCTCTTGTGGGGCGGGTGGATATGCTCGATGACCACATCCCAGCTGTTCTCCTGCAACTGTGGCTGCCCAAACCTTCCAACTATTCTCATGGCTAAACCAGCCAGCAAAGCACAGTCAAGGCCTCATGGAAAAGTCTGTGTTCCAGTCACCTTCTTCTGCCGTCCAAACTCACAAACAATAATGAAGGACTGCTTTACGTGCTTTCTGTTCCTGAGGCTGGTCATCCACTTTCTTTTTTTTTTTTTAATTTTATTTATTTATTTGACAGAGATCACAAGTAGGCAGAGAGGCAGCCAGAGAGAGAGAGAGACAGGGAGAGAGAGGAGGAAGCAGGCTCCCTGCTGAGCAGAGAGCCCGATGTGGGACTCGATCCCAGGACCCTGGAATCATGACCTGACCTGAAGGCAGAGGTTTTAACCCACTGAGCCACCCAGCCGCCCCCATGCACTTTCTTAAGAACAATGAAGTGCAAAACCAAAAACAAAACAAAACAAAAAAATCCTTCATGTGCCTTGATTATGGTCTTTACCGTTACACAGCCAACAACTGGCCTATAGGAAAAAAAGCCATAAAACGCAACAGTGAATTCATTAGGCTTTTTTTTTTTTTTTCATGATGGGCACAGGCACTGGATTTTTGGCTTCAACCCATGTCCATAATATCAAATATGGAAAATCAAGTAATGCTCTCAGGATGGTGTTGAGGCTCCCTCCCATGCTGAGACCATGACCATCGGTCTGATGGCCATCCACACCTACTCCTTCCAAGCTTGTCCTCATGACTTCCCAGTCTCTGTAATGAGCACTTACTCCCTCTGACACTTTGACACCCCTCCAGCTCCCAATGAAGCATGTGGGTCCTCCATCAGTCCCTACTTCCCTGTATACTCAACATCTTGAGTCATGCTCTTGATAACATCATACCAAGACTATTAGGATCTTTTGCTGGTCTCCCACCTCCTATTTCTCCAAACCGTCTTCCACGGACCTACCAAAAGTGAAGATTTATCTGCATCCTTCTTCTGCTCAGTAACCTTCAATGGCTCCCTATTACTCATTCTGCAACCAACGTTCTCCACGATACAGCCCTCAACTCCCTTCCCTATGACATCTCTCCTCCAGGACCCACATTCCCACTAGATTTAATCACTCCTTATTGAATATACTGACCTTTTCCCATCCCCATGCCTTTTTCATGTGATTCTTCTCCCTGGAATACTCACCCTCCTTCCCATTCACCCACACACTAAACTCAAATCCATCTATCAGAGATATCTCAAGGGAGACTCTTCCGTGAAGACTTTCCCAATCCTTCCAACTAGCAATAAATACACCTACCTTCTAAATCCCATGACCTTGAATTTGTACTTACTTTCCTTCTGTCTCTTGTTCCCCTCTACCTTGCAGTGTCAAACCCTAAGTGTCCATGGGGGCTTTTGAGCACAATCTGGTGGGAAGGGAAGGTGGGGAGATGGGCCTTCAGGCCACACTTGCAAAAGCACTGGTTTTACTACACTGAGATGGGAAAAGAGATCAGATGGGGCTGCTCAGGCACACACAATCCCCCACACACACCACACACAGCCATGGAGACCTTCTCAGCCTTCTTTCCTGTCTTGCACCAGAATGCAAGTGTCTGAAGGGGAGAGGCTGTTTTCTTTAAGTAAATGCCTGCCACAGGGTTGAGCACGACACCCGCTGTGGAGAGCTCCCGGATACGAAGCGTGCTGGATTTATAAGAGCAGATAATGCCTGAGATGTGTCCAGCCTGCGTGGCTTCTTCCAGTCTGTGCTGAACAAACAGGTCTCCAGCACCCATTCCCTCCTGACATCTCACTGAGGCCAAGTGTGGGACAGCCAGTCCCTCCTTCTTTAACAGGCTCCTGTGAGATCTTCCGACCTGCTTCTCCTATAAGCTGCCCGTTTACTTCTGAAACTGCATTTACCCAGGAACCCATAAGGGGGTGATCCCCCCCATCCAAAGAGACAGCCCCCAATGCCAACTCTGAGTGAAGAGCCCTGCCAATTTATTTTGCATTGTATTATCAGCGGGAAAGGATCTCTTCATGGGTTTCACCAGGAACCCACCTTCCCAGGGTACCCGCTCGGCCGGCAGCCGCCACCCCTCATTTGAAGCAGCCAGAGTCAGCAAATTGCCCCCATGCCGTGGTAGTACCCGCTTTTCCTGCACTGGGCGTGGGGCCTCCTTCCTCCTGCTCCAGCCCAGAGGCCCCACTGACACCGCACACTCTTCTGCAGGCGAAAGCTCTCCGCACAAAGTCGGGGCTTCCAGAAGGGGCATGGAGGGGAAACCAGCCACTGCATATATCCCTGATTAAAGAGAGAGAGAGAGGAGGAGGAAACAGTGGCCAAGACAGGATGGGAGCCCCAGCTCTCCCGTTTTCCTATACAAATATGAGGCCAGATTCTAACCTCTCCCTTGGCAACTCTGCACAGGGGACAAGAGAGAAACTAACACAGACATGACTCTTGCTCTGAATTAGACCCTCACTTCTTTCACTTCCCCTACCCCTTGTTTCTTCATGGCCTTTTTTTCTTTCTTTTTTTTTTTTTTCCTTTTTTTTTTGGACTTGAACCCAGGTTAGCCTATTTCCTGTTCCTATTTTTAAGGAATTCAGGCTCTCTGCAGCAAAGAAAGACAAGCATTCCCTGGAGCTTTCTATTAGGAATGTTTCTAGATTGTTCGTTGAAAGCATGTACATTTGTTAATTCGCGCCATAAACACACCCCACGGCCTCATTTAGCTCTGAGCGCTCATGTGTACATTGCGACTACCTATGCATGGTTCCAACTTAATCAAATACTTAATGAGCAGCATTAATATTCGCTGTCTTCTCCACAGGAGCCTCCACTCATCAAGGCAAATAACAGTTGGTTGTCTCCACAGCCTGTGGTTGAGCTAAGAATTATCTGCCCTTTCTCAAGACAGGGAAACTGTTGGTCCCCCAAGATGGGAAAACCCTGCTGGGTACTTTCCAAAGGCTTCATTGTAAAATGAGATGTTTCCACTTAACAGATCCCTTGCCAACATCAATGTCAAGCAATCTGGAAGAGCAATAAGAGATCCACCATCCGGGTGATGGTCATTCAGAGATCCTTGTAGCATTCTATTATGTGCCGGACACTGGAGATCGGATGAGGACCTCTCCTCACAGTGCTTACAGTCTGGTGGGAGAGACCTACACTTATGGAAAGGTCAGACTAGAGGACACAAAATTACGGAGTGAGATCAGGGTTTGTCAGGAAAAGCATGGGGTGCTGGGAGAGCCATTCCCTAAAGAAGAGATACTGGAGTTGAGCTGAAATGAGAACAGGGGAAGAGATCAGTTACTCACTGACTATTAGGTCTGCAGCGCACACGTACGTGCACATGCGCACACACACACACACACACACACACACACAGCAAAAAAACTCCTGTATTTATATCTAAAGAAACTGAGGCCCAGCAGAGCTAAATGTCTTGCCCAAGGTCAGACCTAATTATAGAAACTGCCCATCCCAATATCTAATCCCTTCCTGCTAAATCAATGGATTTATGTACATCCCCACCATAGATTATTTCAATACACTTGGCCAATAAAACGCAGAATATTGAGTTAAACCCACATCCCTCGAGACCACAAGCATAAATAACGATCGTGTTTTAATGCGGAGTATACCTTTTCATTGTGCAAATCCGAATTCTCATCATATCAAAATCCAAGACAGCTTGTTTTCAGGAGGAACGGGAAGGTCATAACCCTGTCTCAAACGCACTGGCAAATCTCTCTAACCGTGCAATGCTATTTTGGGCGTGAGCGGTGTGTTTAGGCTGACTTCATGCCCCAGCTGGGGTTTCAGATTTGCACACGGCATTGGGTGGCTCTGTGCTATTCACTGCAAGGGTCTCTCCCCAGACTCCGGAAGCCTCTGGGGACTTACCGCTATCCTCCCAGTGTGTGTCTGCGCTGTGTGGTGAAACACTCTGTTGAAAAGCCCGTGAGAATTCACTTGCAGTCTGTGCGTTTGCATGTAAAAGCAAGGACTGGAGAGAACCGCAGAGGATCACGCTCTGACCCGAGGTTACCTCTGGGAAGCAGCTGCAGTGGGGAGAGCATGGGATACGCTCTTCTTTTTACTCTAGATACGCCCGAGTTGTGTAGAATTGTACACAGGAAGGTATTCGTGTATGACGCATTTAATACATGTGTATAAATCCTTTAAAAAAATCTTAGACAAAACTAACATCTCAATAGAACAAAGGTGCGTCTCCTCAGGGAGCAGAGGCGTTTCTTCTGGCTGTGACTATATTCCAGAAACCTCAGAGCAACTCCCCCGTTGACCAGCAGAGAACTGAAGGTGGAAAACGCGCCCTCCCCAGCATCCCAACGGGAAATCTGGAAAGTTGGAGGCGCCTCGAGGGTCGCGGCCCTTACGACCCACCCCCCCCCCCCCCGGGGGACCTCCGGAAGGCCCGGCCCCCCCCCCGGGGCCCCCCCCCCCCCCCCCCCCCCCCCCCCCAACGGGTGCACTTCGGCAAGTCCCGACTTCACCGCGTGCGCACCTACCCACCCACCCCCGCCCCCCAACCCCCAACCCCCAACCCGTGCGGGTGCCGGAGGGTGCGGCCGCGGCGGGGCGGGGCCATGCGAGCCCGCTCTCCCACCTCCTCCCGCGTCCCCTCCCCGCCAGCCCCGCCCGCGCTCGCCCCCCGCCCGCGCCCGGGGCGCCTGGCCCGCCCCCTCCCCTAGCGCGCAAACGAACCTCGCGACGCGCTCGGAGGCGGCGGGCGGGGGCCGGGCGAGGGAGGGGGCTGGCCCGAGCAGCCCGACTCCGCAGTTGTCTCCCGAGCGCGGGCTGCGCCGCCCGAGCCGCTGGGCTGGGGAAGCACTAGCCGTTGGCTCCCGGGCCGGCCCCTCTAGGCGCTCGCAGGCATGCAGCCCGGGAGCAGGCGGCGTGCCCCGGGCCGCTGCTGAGCCGGCCGGGGCGGCGGGGACCAGCGCCTGCCCAGCCCCTCCCACCTTGCCCCGGGGCCGACGAGCGGCGCCCCGGCACCCCGCTCTTCGCGCGCAGCCCCGCCAGCGCCACCCCCCGCGGGCCGCAGGGGCTCATGCAGCCGCCAAGGTAAGCGCGGGCCGGGAGCGGGGCGGACCCGGCTCTGACATCCCCGAGGCGCCTCCCGCACTTGCGGGGGCCACGGCACTGCTCTGGTCCTCCCCGGCCCCGCGTCTCATCTAGCTCCAGTCTTGCCCAGATTTGGAGCTTTGCTGCGCCTGGATCGCTTTAGTCTTGGCAGCGGTAAAGTTTTTGTGGTTTAGCATTTGCTCTTTTTTCCCCTAAAATGTTCTCCCCGGGCCGCCGGCAGCGCGCGTGCTTGGACAGATCCGGCGAGCGTGTCTTCCACTGTGTGCGGGCTGGGAGCTCCCTTTCTCCCTCGCGGTCACCTCCTCTCCGGGTAGCCGCACCGCCCGGCCCGCGCAGCCTGGGACGGAGCCGGACAGAGGGCTGTCCCGCCGCGAACCCCTGCCGGGCTCCCCACTTCTGCTCCGCGCCTAGCTGCCTAGGCCAGCTGCAGAGATGCGGGACATGCGCCTGCCCCCGGGCACGTCGGTGCTGCACGGTCTGGGCTCGGGTCCGAGAGGTCCGTGGCACTGGGAGCTGCAGCGCGCAGGAAGGTGCGGGACTTGGGTTCAGCGCTAAGGGGTCGGACTCCCGCGTGGCCCCGGCGCTCCCAAGTGGGCGGGTGGGCCCGGCGGGCGGGCACAGAGACTGTTCCGCGCCCAGCTGGAGCGGTGGCTCAGGCCAAGGAACTAGCTGAAGCAGGGGTACAGGTGTATTTAGGGGGAGGGCCGACGGGGGTGGGTAAGGGACGCTCGGTTGCAATTCCTGATTGCATCCTGTTAGTGTAATTGCATTAGATTTGCTTGGAGGCAGAATCAATTGCCCCAGATTGAGATTTTTAATGGGAGCCTGCGAGTCGCTATTATGTGGTGTGGTTTCGGGAGGCGTTGGATTGTATTTCTTTTATTAAGTCGGGCGTCTGGCGAGCGGAGCAGGGGAAATCGCGCCACCTAGCGGAACTGGCCAGCTGCGCGTTCCTTTTAGGCGATGAAGTTGGGTGTTCTCAAAAGTAGGAGACTCCAGCTCCAGGTAGGGAGGCCAGAGGAGCCCTCCCGGGAAGAGTAGTTACCCGCGGATCTAGAGTCGGGTTGAGCGAGAGCCTCCCCGACCCCCAACTCAGCACGCCAAGCTCAAGGGACAGAATTACAGGTTGTCCTGCGGGGCAGGCTGTCACCTCGAGGAGATCCGTCACCTCCCATCTGGCTGGAGGGTCCGCCCACAAAAACATAAGACATTACCTGCCACTAAGTGGCATCTATTTCAGAAGAAAGGGGAAGAAAAAAAAAAAGACAAGATGCACGGACTTTGCTCTCTTCTCCAGTGCATCATAGAGGGGGATTTTGGGGGCGGATCTTGAGCCATGACCCCTAGGAAAGAGATTGGCAGGAAGGGCAACTGAAGGACAGTGGGAAAGGGCCTCCTGGCGATCTGTGCAGGGAAGGGATAGCATACCAAAAATGGCATTTTTAAAAACACAACGCAAAGGGTTTCCTAATGTTCCACTGCCACAGAAGGTGAGAAGCAAGCCCCCTTTGCAAGGGATATGGTCTCCAGTGAACCACCAGGCTGACTTTGCTGGGTCACAAGCCCCGCGGACAAAGGCTCTGGGTGGGGCACCCACACACCAGGCGGGCTCCACATTCTCTGTGGCTGGTTTGTGCTGCCACCTTCCAGGCCAGATGATATTAGCAATGAGCTGAGTTCTCCCTGTTCTAAAGGATACCTTGGTTCCTTGGAGAGCAGCATGGTGGTCCCCATATGGTGAAGACCCTTGCCGTGTTGAAATCCTCTTCCCTGTGGTGCTGGGGAGGAAGGTCCCAGATCCCTTTTCGCAATAGCCCTGCTCTTACCTTTTCTTTCCCAGGTGACAGACAGGTGCTTACATTCCAAATAGACATGTGGAATGGGGGGGGGGCATATGTGCCCCTCCCATACTGTCTCTCCCTTTGCAGGTGTTTATTTAATAACCAGCTTTGTGACCAAAAGGATCTTACGGTAACCTGGCCTCATTCAAGGAGGGCTTCTCTGACCTTTGCTAAGAAACCCCTTACAAGGCATGACTGCTGTTCCCTTAGTGTGCATGGTAACGCAGAACAGAGCCGGGAGGGGCTCCTATTATAATAGGAGGTCCTAGAGGTCCTATAGGACCTTTGACTTGGCCCCTCGGCCACCCCACGTGGGGCCAAATACAGGAATTCTTAGATGAGATGCAAAATAAAATGAACAGGTACTGAGCATCCCTGACATTGGGACAGGAAGTTTTTTAAGCCACCATCGCACTGATGCTCACCAGAACAGGGGCTGGCATTTCCATTTCCCTAAAGAAACTGAGGTCCAGACGGGAGAGCCCAGGTTCTGCGAGTTGAAAGTGCCCTTTCACTTTCAACGGTGCTATCAAGTGAATTAAATCCAAGCACTGGCTTCTACCAAGTGCGGCCCCCAAATTTGGTCACGCCTTAGGAGGTCTGATCACCGATCTCTTGAGAAGTCTGCCATCCAGGGAAAGAGACCGGGATAAACCCAAGTGAAACAGAGCATCAACAAACTGGGATTATCAGAAACCAGCGCAGGCTCGTTTGAATCCATCGGTTCTGTGAAATGGAAAGGCACCCCTCCAGAAAGATCCCTGTTCTATAACTTGACTTACAATATCCCGAAGTTCAAATAACTTCTAAGCGTTTGCTGTGTTTCTGTGGCTCTTCAAGGACAATGGCTTTGCTTTTCAAACAACATCCATTGTTTATTCATGTGACAGACTTGACATAAATTTACCCTGAAAATGGGAGGCTCCAGGCTCTCCCACCTGTCTGGTATCCAGCCCCATTCAAAGGACAGACTCCTGCTTTTCTTATTTTGACCGAATGATAAGTCCCGTGTCAGCCTCCTTTCCTTTCAGACCAACAGAGCTACGAAGGAGCAATGAACGGGGCCATGGAAAACCTAAGGACTGCACTTACCCAAGTGTGCGTGCATCCAAGGTCAGGGAGAAGTCCGTTTCCTTGGTGACAAATAAACATCTTTAAAAGGATGCCCCGTTTCTCAGCCAGGTGTGACCCTAGGAATAGAAAACACAGCATCCTATTAGGTCAGGAGGCAAGAATACGTGCTGACAGGTGAAATTTTTCTAATTCTAAGGCCAGTAAGAAGAAGACATTTTGAAACTTGGGCAACAATTTTGTAACAAAGTAAATGCAAATATTTCTTGTAGCCTCATTTAAAAAATTTCAAGTCACTGCTACTTGATGAATATAAAAATGCCCTTTGTACTAACTTGACTTATAACATTATTATATCCAGATTACTAAAGTGAAGAATTAAAACGTAGCAAACACCGTGGATGCAGGAAAAAATAACAAAGCAACCGGTTGAGTTTACTTCTGGTTTTTCAGTTGTTTGTTTAAAGTAACACTACAAGATAAGGAACTTTCTGGAATCAAGATACTAGATTTGGGGCACCCGGGTGGCTCAATTGTTAAGCTTCTGCCTCGGCTCGGGTCATGATTCCAGGGTCCTGGGATCGAGCCACATTGGGCTCCCTGCCCAGCGGGAGGCCTTCTCCTCCCTCTCCCACTCCCCCTGCTTGTGTTCCCTCTCTCGCTGTAAAAAAAAAAAAAAAAAAAAAAAGATACTAAATTTGGCAGAGTCTGAAAAATCTGGCCCTTGAAAACTTAAAAACAAAAGAATCTGTCAGCTATCTGATGAATCAAGGCCAGTTCCTATAGGTTCTGCAGCCTCCGCAGGGCAGAGCAGAGATTAGCAGATGTGAGTACGAATGCCCTAAAACTTACTGATCTGTATCTTTGAGGCCCTGTTTAGTGCTTACCATCCCTCATGGCTGTTACTTATGTTTTATTTTTCCATCTCCGGGGACTCTCCTTCTCAAGGTCTCCACAGCAGCTTTCCTGGCTGACGGCAACAGTTTGTCCTGGGTCCTGATAACGCTCAGCTCTTCTGCCCTTGGGAGCAGAGATATTCTGGCCGAGTCCCCAAGAAGAGCCTCTGTATCATCCCTTTATTCTTCATACACTGTTCTGAAGATGGACGCACACGGTTTTTCGTCCTCTTTAGGCTGGTGAAGACTTTTCTCTTGATGGATGACTCTGAAAGGAGCTTAGGTGGAAACACGCAAAAGCACACCAAGAGTCACCCCTCTGGCCCCCTAAACATTTGTGTCATCAGCCCTGGTGGCCACCGCGCAGACACTCAACTTCAGAGTTCAGTCTCCTGGTAGTCTTGCATGCGTTTCCCTCATCTGTGCCCTGCTGTGTCTCTTCCCAGCTGCTAGCTCTTTGAAAACCAGGCTACTGGGGCGCCTGGGCGGCTCAGTGGATTAAAGCCTTTGCCTTCGGCTTGGGTCATGGTCTCAGGGTCCTGGGATCGAGCCCCGAATCGGGCTCTCTGCTCAGCGGGGAGCCTGCTTCCTCCCTCTCTCTCTGCCTGCCTCTCTGCCTCCTTGTGATCTCTCTCTCTGTCAAATGAATAAATAAAATATTAAACACCAGGCTACCTCATTGTTCCAGGCGCTGCCACAAAGTTTCCTCCCCTCTCAAAGTCAGAACCTCTTCTGCAACCATAAGATGTTGCTGGTTACCCGCTGCCGGCGGTAGCTCAGAAAAAACGTCTGCTGGGCAGACGTGACTTGGAAATTCACTGCCAGGATGCATTTTCAGCTTCTGACCCCGGCATCCTGGAGAACAGACCGCTGTCATAGTACATCCCTTGGACCGCTGAGAGTTGAAGCCACTCTGTGGTGTTGCTGCCTCGGCAAACGTTTTGTTTGGCCACGTTGCCTGTATGTGTGTGTGGAGGGGGAGGTCTTAGACTGGTCATAGCCTCCCCCCACCCCTGTCCCCCATGTGAATGCATGCCCTGGACAGCAGCTACCAAGTCCCAAGCAGATGTAAGTCCTAATGACTTTCCCCAATGGCCTTTGTGATAAACAGGCTCCCCCACCTCCCAGAGCTGTCCCTCGATGCACCCCTTGGAAAAAGACCCCCCTGGGG